TCCAGGCTTATCTGGAGTGGAGAGTGGCAGACACCTGTGAGGGACACTGAGGGCTTGAGGACTAGCGGGAAATGGAGAATGAACGAGGGGGGTTCCACTATCGACTCCCCCATCTCCAGCTCTGCTAGAGAGCTGCCATTTAAGGCAAGGCTCCTGGAAGGTGTGCAGACAGTGGTACCCTTCCTGAACATTCCAAATGCTTGGACTCTCAAGTTTACCTTAAGGGACCCTCAAGTAAGCTGAACTCTGGCTACCAAGTTATGGACTACTGCTAGTGTATTTCCTGAGAACGCCGCCCAACGAGCTGAAATCTGCTCATCTCTCCCCTCTTCTCTGCACTTTTGCAGGTGTCACATGCCCGACCCCTGCCTCTGTGGAGCACGCAGACATCCGAGTCAAGAGTTACAACTTGAACTCCCGGGAGCGGTACGTTTGCAACTCCGGTTTCAAGCGCAAAGCCGGCACATCCAGCCTGACCGAGTGCGTGTTGAACAAGACCACGAACATCACTCACTGGACCACTCCCAATCTCAAGTGTATCAGTAAGTAGCCAGTTCCTGCATCCTCCCTTTCGGACAGCAGGGCTGCAGTATGGGAGCCCAGGGAGCCCATCTCAGGGGCCGAGAGACCTGTGTTGTGGTCCGGGATAACAACAGGTGGGAATGCATAGGCACTGAGGTCACACAGTGCAGGGTTCAAATCCTGGCTCTGCCATCTACCATCTGTGAGATCTTGGACAAGACCCTTCACTCTGGTTCAAATTCTGGTAGGTCATCTAGAAAATAAAACCTGAGGTCAGCACTGTGGTTGTAGGACTAAATGAATATTAACTATTACACCATTCGTGTTATGTTTTGAGATTGGAGTAGCAAGACAATTCAGCCGTGGACAGGTTGTGTGCTCAGGAGCATGCCTGCTTCTCAGAGGGCGTTTCTCATGATGAAGCAGACTGCAGAGAGCCCATCACTGACCTCGTCTGTTGGTAGCCCAGAAGACAGGCGGATCCTAGAGCAGGGATCCCCTCAGCTTAGACCCCCTGTACAGCATTTAGCCAATGCTCAAGAGCAAGGATAATGGAAGGTCACAAAAATTGACTTTAAACTAGCCACAACTGGATAACCATCCTCCCAAAAAGCCAAACGGTCTTGGGATGGGAGCCACTAAATGTTATTTCCAGGAAAACCAAGTCCCATAAAGTTTAACCAATGTTCTCCCAAGAGCATTATGATTTAGCAGTCAGTGTATACTTGGTGCCTGTCCAGTGTGAGCTATAGACTATATAGCTATAGGGTAGTTGTGACAGCTCCCAACTCCTCTCTGGGTAAGGAGATGAAAGCAGATTGTCTTTTTTTTTTTTTAAATGATTTTATTTAACTTTACTTATCTATTTATTTTAATTTGACCAGAGAGGGACAGAGCGAGAAGGGGGAGGGGGATAGTGAGAAAGCAAGTTGCCAGGTCTGGGACTTGAACCGCAATCAGCCATGTGGGAATCCAGTACCCTTAACCACCATGCCACTTGCCAGCCTCAAAAGCGGACTATCTTACAGCAAACTCACTCTGCTGAAGGGCAACTCTAGGAGGGACATTCCTTGGGATTTATAATCTTAGATTCCCACATCTGGAGACCTAGTCTCACTCCCACCCCCAGAAATTTGGAACAAATGAATCGAAGAGCTGGGTGACAGTGGGATGAGGCATTTCTGTGGTGGCTCACTCTGTCCCATTCTGGGACTCACTGGGAACCATGATCCATTGGCAAAAATAAGAAGTTTCCACCGTAAGGTAAGTTATGTTTCCTCAAGCTCCCCTTCCTTTGAGTGAATGAATCCAGGAGCTGTAGGCTTGAATAGAGCCACGATAGGGGAGAAGAGAACCTGGAATCAATTTCACAGGCAAAGATGGGAGGAATCATTAGGTTTCGTCTGGTCCGAAGCTCCCCATACACACATATACATTTTTTTTTACCACTAACGGCTCTCTTCATACTTTTTCTCAAACTTCTTGTACTTTGAATGACTTTATTCTGCTCAACAAATGGAATCCACTGATTTGCAAAAGCGAGTATTACAAAACGGAGTTGAAAAACCGATATCATTCCAATCAAAAATGAAAGGAATTTGATACTTAGCTTATGCAGTCTTTTTGGAAATGCTACAAAGTAGCTTGCATCCAGGAAACAATTTCCCATCCTTCTACTCTGTACTCAGAAGCTGATTTTCCATGTGAATTTATATATTGATATTTTTCTAGTCTCCAGAAGCTGTCTGGGTCCCCCTCTCAGGATTGTAAACTCCATGTGGTTCTCCTCTCTCTAGGAGACCCCTCCCTGAGTCACCAAAGGCCAGTGCCACCCTCCACAGTAGTGACGGCAGGGGTGACCCCACACCCAGAGAGCCCCTCCCCTTCTGGAAAAGGTAGGAATGTTGGAAATGTTTTAAGAATTCCTATTCCCTACTACCACCCAGATTCCCAAAGTCCTGCAGATTCATGGAATACTGCTGGTGTCCCCTGCAGATGTCGGAAATAGAAAATACTTGCTAGTTAATGCCAAGTATAAGGATGTATAGTGGCTTAATCTTTCTAAAATCAAAGTTGCTTGTTATCCAGGTTCCACATGTGCATAATTAATAGTGATTTAAAATCCACTATTGATATGTCAGATCATCTTTAGCTGTAGACACTTATTCTTGTCAAGAACTGGAGATAGTGTGAGATTGACCTCACTTGCCTGTTAGTCTGCCACAGTCTCATGAGTGCAGGCAGAAAACTTGACATTTTGGGGTGAGAGATGAAGGACTTCCATACACAACACAGCAAGCAGAGGGAACACCATCAGGTCTGTGTGGATTCCTTTGCTCTCCAGTCCTCCAGAGGCAACGTGGAAGGGCTTGAACAGGTGCCTGCATATTCAGCAGGCTGCACTGCAGAGGAGGACACCTGGCCCTAGAGGACCGGAATGTTTTATAATTGGTGGTGAATATGTCTGTTCTTTGCTCCAGAGGGAGGTGTTGTCTCTGTCCTCCAATACACTTGCTACATACTTAAGCATCCCTGAAAAGATAGTCTAGAAGATAGTCAGGCCCTCTATTTGCAAGATGTACAGAAATTGGAAGACTTGTCTTCCAGGGAAGACAGGGACCTAAACTACCCTCCCTTCTTGAGATTGGAGCTGTCAAAGGACATGTCCTGTAAAGTCCAGACAGGTCAACTCTCAGGCTTCCCCTTTATTTTGAAATGTTGTGGGAACCAGCAGATGGCATAATGGTTACATTGCTGGACTTCCACATAGTTGACTACGGTTTGAGTCCTAGATGTGGTGATTTAAACCTCACACTGGGTGTGTGTGCATGCATGCCCAAGATCTCAAAAGGAGAATGGAGGAGAAGGGATTGTGGCATGGCCATTTTCCCTGGGGGTTGATTTCTCACTTTCTGTGAGAAATGCACTTTCTGTGAGATGCACCCTATAGCAAAAACCTCTTTCTCTTGAAAGAAAGAAAGAAAGAAAGAAAGAAAGAAAGAAAGAAAGAAAGAAAGAAAGATTATGCCAACATATAAAAACTAAAATCAGCATCGGAGCTGCGCCTGGGAAATGTAACTGCACTGGTCTATCTTTCAATGTCTAACATGCCTTCTCTACAAACAAGCCTGAGTCTGCTCACATCCTTGGGATCTTTTCTTTATATACACAAAGAAAGATAATTGTATTGTGGAGTCTTGTCGCCACTCCAATGGATAGACATTAGAGCTGATAAGAGACTAGTCCAAATATTTATGTTCTGTTGTCTTGGCATTTCCTACAGAGCCAGCAACTTTATCTCCCACAGTGACCAGAGAGACAGCTGTTATGCCGGGCTCCCGGTTGGTGCCATCAAAACCACCTTCCCCAGGAACCACAGGGACAGGTAGTCATCAGCTCTCCCAGACCACAACAAAGACTTTGGAACTCACACCTTCCACCTCCCACAAGATACCAGGTCAGCACTAGTTTGGCACTAAGGGAGGCCAGTGTCCTGAATGCTTCTCTAAGATATGCCACAAGACAACTGCATAGCTTTATGCCATCCATTCCAAAGTTGAGACTGACTGAGCAGCCTGCCACAGCCTCCATGCCTGGTCACTGTTTTCTGTGTTCTACCACAGCAGCTGGAAAAGAAAGTCACCTCTCAGAGGTGATATGGCTAAGTTTATTAACCTGCATAGCAGAGCCTCTTTCAGGACTCTGAATAACAGCGGCGAGAGGGCAGCAGAAGCCTTCCATGGGTCAGCAGCTGTGACCCATAGGATGGAGGCACCCTGGGTAACTGAACCTTCTCCAGGTAGACCTGCCTGTTAAAGTGGCCCAGCGCTTCAGCCAGGTGCCCTGCTAGTCCTTTGCTAAGATGCATCTGACCATGCCATTTGTGGGTCTCCCAAGGTTCAGGTGGCAGCCACATTGAATTTTCCTGCTTCCTGGGAAACTAGTGCCTTCAGGACTCCAGGCATGACCAAGCTGTCCTCTCTCTTCTGCAGGTGTATACTCGTACAGTTCAAGGGATGCCACTGGTAAGTATCTTCCTCTGCCCAGTGTGTTTACAACCAGGGTGGCTGCAGACTCTGGAGTCCTGGCCCAGCCCGCTGCCCATTCAGCCTTCCCTTTAGTCCTGGAGGTGTCGCCGGCAGATAAGGAGTCAGTTGACACTCTATTTTATAAGATCAGTAGCTTCTAACTGTCAGGCTACTGCTGGTGAAACCAGAGAGCTTACTCACCACAGCGAGGGCACAGGGACCAGCTGTTACCAGCGCCCTGTAGTGCCAGACTCCTGTCCAGGGCGTGTTGGGAAACCATGGCCTCTGCTGCTGTCACTAAAACTATGCCCTTCTGTCAGAGCCACAGGGGCCTTTCTCAGGGTGTGACACTCACAGAGATTATCCATATTTCTCAGCTTAAAAAAAAAAAAGCTTTTTATAGAAGACATACACAACACAGGCTGAAAGAAAAGAAAGCACGTATTAGTGAGTCTAAGGAGGGACATGGAAGAGAGTTTGCAAGAATGAAAGAAAACAGCAAAGGGAGGAGAGGAGAGCCCAAAGAGAGAAGAGGACAACAGCAGCAACGAAGGGAAATAGAGAGGCAGACAGTGAGAAGGGATCCAATATTTGAGCGGAACAGTCTCTGGAATTCCCACATAAAACACAGTTTTCTGAAGAAAAATTATACGAGAGAACCAAGTGACTGTCAGCAAAGAGATGAAAACAAGATCTATGTCATTACATGTCAAGTTTCTGTCTGCTAACAAGGTATAAAAACTAAAACCATGCCTAGAAGCACTCAGTGACAGTGCCTTCAAATACGACATCTGGTCTAAGACACCCTGAGACGGTTACGTGTGACAGAGACACTCACTGGCTCCTTGGATCAGTGGGTGTTGTTACTTCTACATGAAGAAGCAATCAGTCGAGCTCACTTTCCTAAGAAAATATTAATGACAGGGCCAGCCGCATAGCTCACATCTTAGGCAGTGCGCAGAGAAAACTAGATCCCACATGGCTTGCCTTGGTCAAAGTTTCGCCCTGTTGGGTTGAACAAACACACCAGTGGCATGTTCAGGTACCCAGGATCCTGACAGAATGGAATGTTGAAGGAAAAAGGGTTGCAGTATGATGAGGCTCTATTAGGAGGTACTTGCTTTCTCTCTCTCTCATCTCTCTCTTATCCACACACATACTTTTATGCATGCCCTCTGGCATTAAAAAAAAGTTTTTGTTTTTTTTTTTTTTTTTTAAGTTTTTGCCATAGGACACATGTGCTTGCTTGAGAGAGACAGAGTGGGAAAGTGAGAAATCGCTCCACCCAGAGGGATGACCATGCTGCAATTCCTTCCTTTCTGTTCTTTTCTTGGGATTTGGAGCACGCATGCACACACTTGTGCCTGGCATGAGTTTCAAGTCACTAGGTCAGGGACTCAAACTGCAGCGTCAGCTATGTGGGACCCAAAACATTAATCACACCACCACCTGGGCCAACAGGTTGCATGGTGGTTAAGTCACTAAACTCCCACGTGGCCAACTGTGGTTTGAATCCTGGACCCAGTGGCTTGAAACTCATGCCAGGCACCTGTATGTGTGTATCCCAAATCCTGAGAGAATGGAGGAGAAAAGACTGTGGCATGGCTATCCTCCAAGGACTGATTTCTCACCTTCCCGCTCTCTGTCTCTGTCTCTCTCCAGTGAGTGCCTGCACCCTGTGACAAAATCCTAAAAAAAAAAAGTTTTGTTTTGTTTTAGAGAGGTTTTTGCTATAGGGCATATGTACTCACCAGTTTCAGAAAGCAAAAACATTACCCCCCACCCCCAGAGTGGACAGCCATGCCCGCAATCTCTTCTCCTCCATTCTCTTGGGATTTTTGGGCACCCATGCACACATACATACCCAGCGTGAGTTTTAAGTCACTGGGTCCAGGACTCAAACTGCGATCAACTGCGTAGGAGTCCAGTGACATAACCATTCTGCCAAAAAAGTTTTTTTTTTTTTTTTTGAGAGATTTTCACTATAGGGCACATGCACTCGCCAGACAGACAGAGAGAGACATAGAGACAGAAAGTGAGAAATCACCCCCCAGGGGGGATGGTCATGCCGCAATCCCTTCTCCTCCATTCTCCTCTCGGGATCTTGGGCACACACGCACACGTGCCCGGCGTGAGTTTTAAGCCACCGGGTCCGGGACGCGAACCGCGGTCGACTACTTGGGGGTCCAGCGACATAGCCATTACTCTAACTGCTGGTTCCCCCAAAAAAGTTTTTTAAGTGATATTTTATAATAGAGGTTGCTCAGCTAATTAACTGATACCTTAATCAACCCATTTCTACAACATCAGACTTCGCTTTTTAATTTACATAAGTGGTTATCACTACTTTAAAAAGTTACTCTTTTTAATTCAATAGAAAATGGTAAATAGTAGATGTTCAATAAATATTGACTGAGGAAGCAAATCGATAATTACTGGCTTTAGTATTTTAGCCAGTATTTAAGAAGTGTGGTTCGTAATTTCATTGTCTTAAATATCTACTGGCCCACTGGCAGACCTTTTTACCTATAACTTTATTTAACGATCTCTACATCTGGTCTCTGATCTTTGACTAGAGTGTTCTTGAAGACTATGGGTTGTAAAATAAATGTCCAGCATGCCACCTACGACAGTATGTATACTGCCATATTTAGTACACCAGGAGGAAAGAGGTGTTCAATCTGGTATGCCTCATAGTCTTTCATATCTGAAATAAACTTACTATAGTTGATATGCTCAGCCTTTGACAGGAGCTGCCTCTATAGTATATTACTTCTCTACTTGATATAGATGGAGTTCCTGCTTTGTATGAGGTATGATCCTACACTGCTATGAAATGCAGATCTCTCATTCAAAATCAAATGTCACTGGGGCCGGCATGGTGGTTAAGGTGCTGGACTCCCACATGGTCAATCACGTTATGAATCCCATACCCGGTGGCTTGATTTCTCACTTTTTCTCTCTCTCTTTGGTCACATTAAAAACTAATAATAATTAAATGAGCTAATTCTTTTTAAAATTTTCATTTTAAATGTATGTAATTTTAAAGATTTAAGTCCATGAATTAAATATTAAGTCACTACTCTGCATCTAACACTTATCCTGTACTCAGTACAATAAGAGAAAGAGAAGAAATGATAGCCCACAAGTAAGAAACTGGGTTTCTTCCTCCCCAACTGCCTTCCTCTGAAGCAAGCACACAAGCACTCTGGCCACAGTGATGTCAGCACTGCTGCCTGTGACTGGCCTACTCTGTCAGGAGCTGCTAAGGGATGACTATTCCCTGCATATTCACAGGGGACATTGCATCATCCATGCCAGTTCTGCCCACTGGTTGTCTCAGCTGCCTTCATTCTAGACCCAGTCTAGTCATGTGCTGGTGTGGGAGGTGGCAGGGTATATACTGTTCTTTGTGAACTCATGTGCAATAATGATAATTGACTTTTTCTCCTCTCTCCTGCTTCTCCTTTTCCCTTCTATTGGGTCATCAGGAAAGTTAAGAGGCATTTTTGCATAGGAAAACACAACATGACTTTCCCACCAACCTAGTATCTTACCAAATCTCTCTCTGATCCACACTCCCCAAGAAGCATGAAAGGGTGGAGAACTTGGAAGGTGATCTGTTAATTCATTGTCTTGGTCATTCTGGCTTTTCTTTATTTATAAAATTTGCCTGGATATAATTGAGGAAGAGGCTAAGGGTCTGGGATTATGTCACTGAATTCAAATGGCTTTGCTTTATCATTGGCACAAGAGCCCTCTTCTCTCTTGAATTTGATTCTGCAGTTCTTACTCTCATTTGAAAAGAAACAACAGACTGGCTCCCTAGCACATCAGCTAGGCACAATGCAGAGGAAGCTGGATCCCACATGGCTAACCTGGGTTCGAGTCCAGGTCCCATTGGCTTCATAATGGGCACACATATGTGCCTGGGATCCTGAAAGGATGGAAAATCGAAAGAAAAAGGATTGTAGTATGACCAGGCCCCACTGGGTGGTGCGCGCTCTCTCTCTCTCTCTTTCTCATTTGTGCACACATGCCCTCTAGCATTAAAAAGTAATATTAAGGGGCCGTCAGGTGGTGTGGTGGTTAAGGGCACTGGACTCCCACATAGTTGATCACAGTTCGAGTCCTGGACCTGGCAGCTTGCTTTCTCACTTTCCCTCTCTTTCTCTTGCTCTGTCTCTCTCTGGTTAAATAAATAAATAAATAAAGTTAAATAAAATAATTCTTTTAAAATAATAATAATTAAAAAGAAACAGGAGGGGCCAGCAGGTAGCATGGTGGTTAAGGTGCTGGACTTCCATATGGTTGACTACAGTTTGAGTCTCACACCTGGCGGCTTGCTTTCTCTCTCTCTATTTCTCTCGGGTCAAATTAAAGAAAAAGAAGAAACAAAACAAATAATTATTTTAAAAAAAGAGAGAGAGAGAAACAGAAAGAAGAACTACAGTTTACACTAACTTGCCTTTTCCAATAAATCACTTGATAAGCAATAAATGCATGCCAAGTTTATTAGCCACTGTGAAGACACAGCACAACATTTTGGCTAAAAAATATTTATTTAATCATGATGATGATTTATGTCAAGTCTAAAAGCTCAAAACATCTTTTACTAATTTCTCACATTTTCTGTTATTCTTTTCATATTTTCTATTACAACTTTTCTATGTGCATTTTTATTTACTCAGTAGTTGTTTTGTTTCTATAACTTTACTGTTTCTTCTGGTTATAGTATCATTGCAAAAAATGAGGAAAAAACATTTTATGAAAAGAAAATAAAGATTATTTATCATCTCATCATTACTTAACACTTTGGTATACATTCCTTAAGTTTATTTTTTTTAAGAGAGAGATTTTTGCTACAGGGAGTGTGCTCACTGGAGAGACAGAGAGACAGAAATCACCCTCCAGGGGGGGAATGGCCACACTGCAATCCATTCTCCATTCTCCTCCCGGGATTTTGGGCACACACACATATGTGCCTGGCATGAGTTTCAAGCCGCTGGGTCCAGGACTCAAACCACGGTCAGCCATGCAGGAGTGCAGCAACGTAACTATTATGCTATATGCGGTTCCTGTTCCCTTAAGGTTTTTCTGTGCATATGGATACTTGGCTTGTTGAAAATTATTCTGGGTTCGTTTCTATCTCAACCAGCTTTTTTTTGCTCAAGATATTATAGATATCTTTCCATCTTACTAAAAAGATCCATTTTATATAAATATATATACACACACGTATATGTGTGTGTGTGTACACACACACACATATAATTTTATGTGTGTATAAATATATGTATATACATATACACACACATATATATATAATTATATATATATAAATTTTTTTGTCAGAGAATGAGTACACTTAGCAAAGAATAAGACAGGACAGAAAGAGAGAGAAAGCATGTTCCCAATGGGGTGTGGTCATGCCACAATCCCATCTCCTGTATTTATCCATCCTGTCAGGATTTTGGGCATTCATCCACCCGGCATGTTTCTCAAACCACTAAGCCAGGATTTGAATCACGGTAGGCTATGTGGGATCTGGGTCTCTTAACCACTAGGCTATGGGGCTGGGCACCTTTCTTTTCTTTTTTTTTTTTTTTTCCAGCGATTTTTGCTATGGGGTGCGTGCATGAGCTCACCAGAGAAACAGAGGGAGAGAGAGAGAAATCATCCCCCAGGGAAGATGGCCATGCTGCAATTCCTTCTCCTCCATTCTCCTCTCAGGATCTTGGGCATGCATGCACATGTGCCCAGCGTTAGTTTTAAGCTGCTGGGTGCAGGACTCTAACAGCAGTTGACTATGTGGGAGTCTAGCAGCATAATCATTATGCCATCTGCAAGTTCTCCTAATTTTAAATAGTTGAATTTTTCCATTGTATGTGTATACTACATTTTATTTAACTAATTTTCTATTGATAAGAGTTAGATTAACATCTCTAAAATTATTTTAAATAATACGTGAGTGAATACCTCTGTATATAATTCTCCATGCCCATAGAATAAAGTCCTATCAGGATTAGAGTCAAAGGGTGTAGTTATCAAAAGGTTTTTGTGGTTGGTTGGAAATGGCCCCGAAAAAACTGTACCAGTTACATTTCTAGCCAGTAGAGGGTGTGAGTGTTTCTCCACATCCTTATACACATCTTGGTTTTCCATAGAAATGTATTTGAAGGCCAAGTCCTGGGAAATGTAAACTGGCATACATGGTCTGGACTGATGGTCATGAGGGTGAAGCCCTTTAAAGCTCCCTAGTAAACCTAGAAGCTTTTCCCACATAGGTCCAGTTGCATGGCTGCTGTGTCACCTGTGGTCCTGTCTTCCTAACTCTGGGTTTAGCAGGTGATCCTTTTCCTAAAAGCTAGCCTCGTCATCCTCATCCCACCTCATCATTCCAGCTTTGGACCTTTGAGGTTCTTGTTTCACCCATAGATTTACTCCTGTCCCAGCTTCATCCCCAAGTCACTTTGCCCAGGAAGGACAAGGATTAGTAGCAAGGTTATTGAACAACATTAACTGGCCATGTCAGCAGG